AAGCACTCATAAAACCATTAATAGCCACACACCAAATATCACCCACTTGGCCTTTGAAGGCTTTACATTTTTTTTTCGGCACTTTCTCGTCCCCTAATTACAATTTCTCTATCAAGCATTTTTCACTTATTTTCTCTCATTACATTAATCATGGCTTTCTTCTTCAATCCTTTCACAAAGGATTTATAGAGGCAATACATTTTTTTCTTTGTTGCTCGGATCTCATCCCGAATGTGGTCGTAGTTTATCTTTCATGTCGAATCGGGAATCATGGATCTATTGTCATAGAAGATCATCACGTACCCTCATCGCATAGGGTCGTAGCTTCAAGGCCTCAAAGGAGTTCTTCAATCAAGTGGCTCCTTTCTATAGGCATACAACCAATGCCACACATTCAAGTTCCATGGGTTAACAATATTACAGTTTGTTGTTCCAGCTGGCCCGTCAAAGGTAAGCAAGTGCTCCCATTGAAATATTTAGTTTATCTGGATCTTTCATGATAGAGAACCTATTTACCTGAATATCTAAGCAGTTAAAAGGAACCGTGGATCTTTCATGATAGAGAACCTATTTACCTGAATATCTAAGCAGTTAAAAGGAACCGTGCGACTGTAGCTACCCACACTCAAGTATAACACTTATAACATATATATTCTTAACATTCTTATGCCTATGTCATGTGATAGTATAGCAAGTCTTATGCAATAAGTAATTCAATGTTCGCTGGTTTCACAATGTGTAAATCCTTCCTAAACCACAAAGGTTCAACCACACTAGTCTTCTTGGAAGTAAACCCATACAAACCAATTTTATCTATCCATACATCACGTGTCAATAAGACCTACTAAGATGACATTCTTATGACATTCCCTATGGTTCATGGTCTTAAGTAATCGAGGATCCTAAAAAAAAAAATGTGGGTCAAGGCATATGGGTATTTAAAAAACAATGCATGAATAAATTACTGTTTTATTCTAAGTTTATAAATACCTTCAAGACTCAATGTTTTTTCCTTTTATTAAAAAGCTCTTGACTTGGAATATATATTCACAAGCAATAGTTAAATAATAGTATGGCGGTTTAGAATGATTTTCCATAAAAACTTAATAGACCTTGCAAAACTATGGGGTTTTTTCAAAACCACATTCATAGACTTGAGTTTTTCTTAAATGATCCAATTTAATTTTAAAATACATGCTTAATCTTCATAAATCATTTTACCACATTCACTTTTAATTACCTACCAAGTTATGTTTATAGCCACAAAAACAAATCATAAAGTCCATCTTACAATTTTAGTCAAAATAAAGCATGACTAAATGATGGTTATTAAAACACTTTTTATTGGGAAATATTGTGACTTTATCATGAGATCATCATCACATGCAACACATCATATTACTAGAAAATATTGAGAGGATGGTCACTAAGACCGAGTTCCAAAGGAACACTCCTTTCGTACTTACATGTTTGAATGAGCCACATCCATCTCTTGTGTCTCATAATTAGGCTTATAGTCCTCGATCAAACCACATCTCCATATGTATCACTACTTTAAGTGGTTCATATTCAAGCACAATGAGGCACAAAAACACATGCTCTTTCAAATTTGTTACCAACTATCACCTAATGTCCATACACTCTATACATATTCATAAACAAATAGCCAAAATATAATCAAAGAGGTATATAAAACATAAAATGAAAGGTTAATGAATCATCTTTCCCTATATGACTTTATCATATAATGTGGGATAAATTTCATACCTCAAAACCATGTATTGTGGTTCCTAGGCTTTTTTTATTCTTTGTTTTTACTTGTTGACAAGCTTTTGTGATATTGGAAGAGCACACAACTGATGAAGAAGCTTTTGATCACTATCTTCTACATATCGATGAAACATACGCCTCTTCGGCCTTTGGATTCTCCCTTACATATATGAAGAAATACTCTTCTTGATGTCATCACACCAAAAGTCACAATGTTGATATTTCCACTGAACGCTGGGTTTCTATGCCGCCATAAAGGCTCTTTTCTCTTCGCTTCATTACAAATAGAAACATAGATGTTTTTACAAGTATTGTGTTTCTTATTCTTTATGCAATTCACAGATTGAGCACTCTTCACATTGAGTGGCATATCTCGCCAACTCTGTATTACCTCTCTTTTTTTAATTTATAAATCATACTCATGGTACACTATAAAACTTTTTAAATGAGCCCTACAAGTGTTTTCTATAACGAAGAATGCGAAGATGTACCTTAACATGACATATCTCTTAATTTATTGCAGAATAGAAAATAAGCATTCCATCATAAAAATACAACATCTCTTAACTCATAAAGAGTTTATCTCTTAAACTTTTAGAGTATAAAATAGACTAAAAAATACATAATAGTGCTCAATTCCATCCATCAATCACACTATTTAGTGAGTATTCGATTTAGCGACATTCACGTCACAGTTCAATTTTCATAGCAGACAATCCGGTTACGCATCTCTCAATAAAATAATTGTTTCGTTCAATTCACAAAGGATTTCTTCCTCAAAACTTTTCTGTTGAAAACTAGACGTAAAAGCAAAATATAACATCATATTGTGAATCCCAAATAATATTTTTTTTCAAATAAATAAATAAGTGACATTCACATCACAAAATATATCATATTGCAGAATTCCAACATGAATACTATTTAGTAAAATTGTCTTTTCTCTTTACATACAAAATAATATTTTTCTCTACTCCCAAATAATATATTTTTTTAGATAAATAAATAAGTGACATTCACATCACAAAATATATCACACTGCAGACTTCCAAGATGAATACTATTTAATAAAATTGTCTTTTCTCTCTACATACAAGAAGTTTCCTTTTCAAACCTTTTGTTTGAAAGTTGACTAAAAAATGAAACAAATATCTTTATGCAGGCTTCATATCACTCTGTTAAGTAGGCTTGAAAAATAGAGATATTCACATCTCAATGAAAACACATCAAACTACAGAAAATTTAAGATGACCTCTCTTCAATCCAAATTTTTCACTCCTTCTCTCCCTTAGATATTTCTATCTCAAATAATTTTTATTAAAAACTAGACTCCAAATGTAAGTCTAAAACCTTAGTGTAGGCCTTAAAACATTCTGTTAAGAATGTAAATAAAATCATAACTTCCAAGTCGTTGAAAAAGTTTTCATTGAAGAAAACAACACTTGCATATCTTTCAATAAAATACCTATATCTTTCAAACCACAAGGGTTTCTTCATGAATTGATTTTTGTTTGAAAGTAGACTCAATGTGATGAGTTATATTTAAATTTTAACTAAAAATAAAATCATATGATTGCTGAAAAAATTCATAGAACTCGATGAACAGATCGTGGATTTTGCAAGGTCAGAATTGACACATCTCATTGTTGAGTCCATAACTCTCAATTTTGTCAGGATTTCCTATTGAAATTTTGCAGGTAAATCATACTCTAAAAAACACAGAATTTCACTCAAGTATATAGTAGATAAATACCTCATTATCTTCTTTATATCATTGCTCGAAAATAGCACATAATACCTCATTTTGCATAATGCCTTTTCGGTGTTTGAATAGTCCAGTAATTCTTCCGGAGGTGTATCACTTGACCACAAATGTAAATAGTTTTCTTATATCTCATTCCCAACTCACCAAAAATAGTGAAATAAAATAAATATGCCAGTAATTAGATCTAACTCTGATACCAATGAAAGTGAGACTTATGTGATCGAACTGGTGTATATATTCTTCTTTTTTTTCATTTTTTCTATTTTTTTTCCTGCTTAGAGTACTCACAAGTAGTTCATTACAATAAATTAACTTGAAAATAAATAAATAAAAAATAAATATAAGATCTAAAACTTGATACCACTAAAACATCTCCTTAATTAATAAAAGAAAACCACAACAATATGTTTGGGAATAACAAAAGACACAAAAAATATATATGACAAGAAATAAGAAAGTGAGTGTCGGAGACTACCTCAACTGGCTTTAATACAACCCACACCAAGTCACCACCTCCAATAGTACAGGATTAATAGTCAACCTCAATCTCCAAGATGAAAAAACATATGGGCCAAACCTCTAATAGAACAAAAACTCTTTACAAAGCTTAAATATCAAACTAAGGCTTACATCTATCTAAGTGGGTCGTGCCCCTTTTTCAAGACGAGAGAGAGAGTCTTCAAGAGGTGGGGCATGCCCCCTTTATCATGAACTGGAGAGAGAGAGAGAGAGTGAGAGCTCTACTAAGGGTGTGCCCATTTATTATGAACTAGAGAGAGAGAGAGAGCGCTATTAGGGGCGTGTCCCTCTATTATCTGATGAGAGAGAGATAGAAGAGATTAGGTGTGAGAGATATGGGTACGGGGTACCTTTTTATATAATGCTTTGATGGGATTAGGGTTTTTAGGGTTTCCATATAGTTTGCCTCTTTAATAATATTGAATTTGTATTATTGATCTTGTGTGATGATAGATATGAGCTATTCATTCTATAGATTAGCCATCAAGATCATATAAAATGTGTTAGAATATTTATCCTTCATTTTCTTAAACCAATTTCCCATCAATTAAATTAAATAAAAATATCAATAATAATATAGAGATTTCTTATTTCATTTTCTTAAACCAATTTCCCATCAATTAAATTAAATAAAAATATCAATAATAATATAGAGATTTCTTATTCTCGTGTACAAGCCTCTTCATATTTTCTTTATTTGATTTCAAAGCTTCCTCCAAATGAAGCTTTTTAAAAATATATGATCTTCTCCCTCAAGCCATATGGCTCGAGTTAATAAAATAGAAAGTGAGATTAGGGTGTGGCGTGCCTCCTTATGTGGCACTCTAAGGGCCCACTAATTTATAGTAATTTATAGGAAAAAAAAAGGGTTTCAAAATTAGGGGGTAAAAAAAAATTATCCCAAAAGAAAACGTTTAGAAGGTGAGGAGACGAAGGGCTTATGGCATAATCATCAAATTAACACTCCTATCATGGCATTATTAGAATTACGAGAATATTGTACATATCAGCACAGTGAAGGATATGAGCTGGTGGATGTTTTTTTGACAAAAACTGTAGAGCTAGTAAGATGATTCTTGAATGGGAATCAGGGGTAATTTTCCTCCATATATCTCTGGGAGCTGGTTTTCGTCGATTTCTTTCAGCAACACAGACTGCAGACTTTTATTTTCAACAAAAACAATCTGCACAAAAGAGAGCAACCCAAGAGGTAAATGCCATGTACAGAAATAATAAAAGAATTCATGTGAATGAACTCTGGAGAACACTACAAACTGGAATCTCAGAGTGTCAGCAAACTGAGAGGATAGAGAGATATGGAGAAAATTGGTGGTATTTCAGTACAAGGTTGTAAGAGCACACTCCGGAAAATCCAGATAGCAGATTGATAGCAATGTCATAACCATTTTCTCAAACCTCAAATGCTTGTGTTTATGCAAAGATAGGTTGCACCAGATCTATGAAAATTTTTATACATGTATTTCACAAGAAAAAAGAAACATGAGCAATAACAATAAAAAAAGGAAAAGAAAAGTGAAACTACTTCAAAATTGACAGAGGATGCCAAATTACCAATTTATGAACAAAAGTGATTACTTTTAAAAAAAATCGTTTCAATCAGTATTCTCCTCAATTATTTTGTTATATATGCCCATCTTTTGGGTTTGACAACCCGAGCATGCGGAGATATTTGATAATTGGGCCCAACCTAGGTCTCGCGAGCTAAATAACGTAAATACCTCTACCAATCATGGTTTCCAAACCCCATATGTTTTTTTCATCAAAATAAGCATAGGTATTTACATTATTTGACTCAATGATTCAAGCGGCTAAACTAATCCAGCTTGTTTAGGGCCAATCACACCCTCATTCAAGAATCAAAAGCTAAAATAAGCAGGAGCATATAGGTAATTTCGCCCCACTTCTGTCATAGACTATATTAGTAAAACACACATGCTTGTACAAAATTCCAAAGTCAAACTAGGCGTAATTTTGGGCATTTTCTAACTGAAATAAAGAAAAAATTAAATGATCCTTTTAAAATAACCACTTTGTTTGATAAATTGATTGATTTGGCCACATCATTGATTTTTTGAGGTACTCGACCATTTTAGTTAACATTTTCCCATAGAAAAAACAATATATACATATGAGATTGTATAATATAATATATTTATTTTTAATACAAAGAGGTCATAATCACTTTTAGCCATTTGATGTGAAATCCTACATCTAGGGGTGTATCCCACTGTTTGAGAACTTTTATTTTGGTTTCTATGTCAAATCATTCACACACCCCCAATCGTCTAATTTTACATTTGATGGTCAATAGTAATCGTGACTTCCTTGTGCCAAAAGTCTATGTATATATATATATATATATATATGTGCAATTGGCATACAAATACATCTGTAGCTGTAGAGATAAGGTGCACCTTAAAATTTTATCATGGTATATAATTTTGATGTAAAATGTTCTTAAGATTATCTCAAAATCTATTTTATATCTAATTATAAAATTTTAAATTTAAAAAATGATTAAAATCAATTAGATTTATAAACATATGAAAATCTTGAAAATGGTCGGTGTAGATAATATGTTGTAAAATGCACTATTTCTGATACTTAAAATCTTTTTATTTTTCATGGTCATACGTTTCGATGTCAAGATGATCAATCAAATGGTTTTTCAACATTAAAACTACCTTTTCTGATGGATTTTTGAGGTGCATCCGTAGTTCTACATTATAAGGTTGCATCCTTATATAAACTTTTTCTTGTATATATATCTATAGGAAAATGATACTGTTGGCCGGCCCGCCAATGCCAATGGGGTGAGCCGAACGGGTGGGATCAAGCCAAGAAGGATCACAACCGTTCAAACTCCACAAGTTGATCCCACCTGTTCTGCTCACCCCATGTGATAACGTTTTTAGAGATTTGTACCAAATTAAATAATATTCCTTTGGGGTCCTACGGAAATGGGTGTGAGAGGGTCTCATAAGAT